AAATCATCGAATGACTGCTCTCGCCTGGGTGAGGCGAGAGGCAACTGTCTACGACTCTGAATAAAATACTGGTAAAGTCACATTTTACAGTCCTGAAATCTTAACACAAACAAAAATATTGTTGAAACAAAAAAAAAACAAAACATGTATAAAACGACACGTGGGGAAGGCTATTCCTGGCCTCAAACACCCTATTAAACCAAAAAAACAAACGAAAATGCACCCTAACAGCATTAAAACAAGAACTAAACTTCATAACACAGACCCATTGACTCACCGACCTAAGTTTATTTTGCTAAAGGAATTTGAACTTTATTGCAATTAGTATAAAGGTGTCTAAATATAGTTTTAACGTCGGGATGCTGTTAAAGCGACAGACGGATAATATTAGAATTTGTTTAGCGAATGATTGATAGTGAACAGAACGGTTTTGAACCTGGGACTCGTCATTGAGTGTCAGCGGACTGAGCTTTTAGCACTTAAGTAAGTTAAATAAACTGTCAAACACCAAGCGGTCACCGGTGACCGCAACCTATTGTTCTATAATTGTGTCTACAAAACCGGTACTCGACGAGATAAATAGTCCATATTTTGTTGTACCTAAAGTTATAAGTAGCCTTTGATCTGTTGAAACACCGGCTCCCGGAAAAAATACAATACCCGCATCATTCAACTGACAAGAGGGTAGTATTTTTTAAGAGGCGAAAATCCTCGAATGACTGCTTCCGCCTGGGTGAGGCGGGAGGGAGTGTCATACTCTTACTGACTAAAAACCACCCCGTTCCTTCTCCTGCACGTAGAGCCGGAGCCCCGGTTACCCGTTAGGTTACCCTACTTGTGATAATGGGTCTCATGAAACACCACGAAATTGTGATTTTAGTTCTATAAAATATGTAATGAACTTATTTATTCTTCTTCGTATTAATGATAATTAAAAACTGATATGCCAAGAAGTTCCATCGGTATTAGCAAAATAAATAAAGCCCTACAGAAATTTCTCACAGAAAAAACAAACATACGTACATACTAGAGGTATATAACCTCAAATTAAACGAATTAAATACAAAATAGACCACAGATTAAAATTAACCTCGACGCCCTAACCAAACAGGTCTCAACCTGAACTGTAAACAGCGTGACTTTAATTATGTCTACATTGCAAAGGGTGAGCACAAAACGAAAGAAAAGTGCAACGCGAGACGACCATCGCACATCGACTATAAATAAAGTGTCTCGCCTTCCTATAATTATGAGTTATGGTTTTATGTGTGTATCTAGAGCAGATGGATAGTATTTATTTAAAATCAAAGAAATGCTACGTAAATTATTTTAATAGGTAAAGTGGTTTTCAAATAAATAAATGAATATTTAATGCCCAAAACAAAGTAACTAGTATGTAAATATGTAAAAAAAATGTAAATTGTCTTCATTTATATGTATAATTTATAATTTGTATGTATTTATATTCAATGTAGTTGTTTGGTTATTTATCTGTTTAGTTTTAAGTCTGTTTCCTATCCCAATTTTCTATTTGTTGCAACACACTGTGTCACTACATTATTATTACTTTTCCTGCTCCAGGTCCACAGGAAGAAATTCCAATAGGAATATGTGGTACCTTTGTACTTTAATTTTATGTATGTGTTGTTCTTTATGTTGTATGTGTGTACATAAATAAATAATAAAAAATAAAAAAAATAACAGGGAGTTCTAGTTTTTTTTAAGATTGTCCATATAGCACTGTCATCAAATAGCCCGAGACAGTCCTCTGGACGTTATAAAGTTGAAGTTAGAACCTAGAGGAGGTTCTAACTAAGTGGATATTATATTATAGTTTTCACACACTTTCACAGTCTTTTTATTTTTTTATGCGATAAGGCGGTAAATGAACAGACGCATCACCGATACATGGAAACAAGTGGACTTATAAGGGGCGGCACCGATTGCTTACCAATTGATTACCGGTTTTTTGAAGATTATGAATTTGAGGATTATTGGGGATTCAGGGTCAAATAGTTGAGGAGGGTAATTGGGTAACACCTCACTCATACGATAAAACAGTTGTGTTTCATCGCGCAAGCGTTGTTTCACGTCGTTGTTCTACTCGGCCGTGGTATCACTCCGGTCGAGCCGGCCCATTCGTGCCGAAGCACGAGTCTCCCACATTTAATAACGCCACACATTCTCCAACTTATTCAATCTAAATCGAATTTCCAGGCTCAACTATTACACTACGATCCACCAACCAACATGCATCGTCGATAAACATATTGTTTAATATTTCATCCATCTGTCGTTTACTACTCCTAAACTCATAACCTCCTTGAACCGACCAGATGTGGCAGTAATAAACAGAGTTTAATGCGTTACTCGTAACTTCGTTTAACGTTATAACGATAACTGTTATAAAAATAACAGCGTTACATCTATAATTAGTTGATTGTTTTGTTCCTGCTTTGTGGTGTGAATGAATGGTATATGAATTTACTGTTTCATTTGTCACTACTGAATTTTCATGTCTTAGATAGGCTCGATGGCCAGGTTCATTAAACTGTCAAACATCGCGAGGACACCGGTGACCGCAACCTATTGTTCTTTAACTCGTCGAGTACCGTCATTATAGACACAATTATACCTCTAGAACAATAGGTTGCGGTCACCGGTGACCGCTTGGTGTTTGACAGTTTAATTGTGTCTATAATGACGGTACTCAAAGGGTTAAGTATAGAGCAATTATAGAATTAACATAATAACACCATGCATGTTATCCTCGGAGGTAGACAGAATGCACATTACGGGACTTATTGCCGCTGTACAATATAACACCCACTTTTCACTATTTATGTTATAAGTCTCATGTAAGGTAGGAGGTGGCACAACGCCATACTCCGTGCTCCGGAGATTTAGAAAAAAAAACCAGTAATACCCGGCAATCGAACCCGCGAACCCCGGCAGTTGCACTAGCGACCACTCGCCCAACGAGGCAGTTATTACAAACAATCTACGATCATTCAGCCTATCACACTGTAGGTTATCGAAAAGTCTTTCACTTATGTCAAAGTCAAAGTCAAAGCATTTATTTCAATTAAACCATAGTTTGGTACTTTTGAAACGTCAACAAATACAAAATAAATAATAGTCAATATAATTCAGTCGTCTGTCAAATATCAACGTCAGTTTTTGAAGGACATAAGAAGAAAATAAAAGAAATTTGCTAATAGATGAAAATAAAAAAATAAAGTGTGGGAGAGCCATGCTTCAGCACGAATGTGCCGGCTCGACCGGAGTGATACCACAGTGGACTTTAGTTAAGTTACTGTCGAACACAGAAAACCGACGTGAAGCAACGCTTGCGTTGTGTTTCGTCGCGTGAGTGAGGTTACCGGAGACCCAATTACCCTCCCCTTCTCCAATCTCCTCAATCCCTGAATCCCCAACGATCCTCAAATTCCTAATCCCCAAAAGGTCGGTAACGCACTTGTAACGCCTCTGGTGTTCCAGGTGTCCATGGGCGACGCCGATTGCTTACCATTAGGTGATCCGTCTGCTCGTTTACCGGCTATGCCATAAAAAATAATAATTACCAAACAAGTTTCCTTTTCATCTTAATAAAATAAAGTCATTATATGACACACAAACATAAATGAGATATTAATTATTGTTTTAATTACAACGTTGAGCCTTTGGCGTGGTACCGGATTTAAAGGTCGCATACCGGTGTCAAAACGATGCTTATTATGACAATATCTTTATTAAAGTTTACAACGAAATATTATTAACCCTTAAAGTGACGTTGTTAACATATAAAATTATTAAGAGGAATTTGTTTCTTTTGCATTGAATCAAGCTGTGGTAATTACAGATTTCTTTTTGTTACCAACCCTACTTACAGGCCGCGGAGTACTAAACGGGTTATCGGGGCTCCGGCTCGACGTGCAGGAGAAGGAACGGGGTGGTTTTTAGTCAGTATTTCTGTAAGAGTCCCAGTAACCCGTTAGGTTCTCCGCGACAACAGTGATGACGGCTAAAGTATTATATGACTTGTTTTTCGGAAAGTAACATATTATATGTTACTGTCTAACCCGATTTTCCTACAAAATCGAGTATTACTCGAGTGTTACCTTCTAGATTATACACGAGTAAAACCACAGACGAAAAGATAGCATTAAATAAGATGTTATAATCTCAGTAATCTTTGCACGCATCATAAAATACGTAATTTATGTTCATGTTGGGTCTCATTTACTTAAACATAATTACGGAGTTAATGAAAGCTGTTAATTAAAAAATATAAAATGAGATATACTTTATATCATTAATAAAGAGGTAAATATAAAATGTTGATGTTGGTTATCGACGAAAGAAATCAAGGAGGCACCCTTCAATAATACTTTTTCTGCTGCGAATTATATCGAAACTGAGATCTTGTATTCGTCACTCAAGTCTTTGGAACTACATACAGACGAAAGTAGTCGAATTAGAGACATGGAACTACACAACAGACAAAAGTAGTCCGTATAGTAAGTTCAATTAGGCACAACATTAGGTTTTCCAAAGTCACTAATAAATGATAATATGATCAGGCACATAAGTGCCACCAACCGACGGATCACCAGAGACGTAGTGGTAGACTGCGCTCACCACTTACCATTAGGTAATCCTTTTACTCTATCCCCAACTGCCGACAAAAGAACAACTAAAGGCTAATCCTCTTCTAGCGTCGGTCGTCATTGCTCGACAGGGCGTCCAATGTGTTAAAATTATTAAAAGACTACTTTCTGCCAGCGGCTTCAACCGCGGTCTTGTGGGATACAAAGCGTATGTGTCATTCCAGACCATAATCTACCCCTTTTCCAAATTTCATCTCGATCCCTTCAGCCGTTTTGACGTGAAGCAATAACAAACAAAGATATAAACTTTCACATTCATAACATTAGTAGGATGTAGTTTTAGAGTGTTGTAAAGTTATTTATTAAAGAATATGTTTTCCCTTTTTCCAGGGTGGCAACCAACACTCCTCACCTGGTGAGCCTGGGCACCGGTCGGCTGAGCACCGCCGTCACCTTGCATCCCATCAAGCAAGGTAAGATAAACTTCCAAAATATTTATAACTATCAACAAACCTCGATACAAAGTCAAGTCAACAGAAAAGCCAGCTAGCATTGATTACTACATTTTCCATGAGTTGATATGTTTTCCAATATGACTTGGGTGTCTTCAAGTCCCGAGTGAACAGGTTGCTCATAGGTAGGCGTGCTCCATCGTCGGTCACATCATCGCTTACCATCAGGCGAGATGGTGGTCAAACGTCGACCTATAAAGTATAAAAAAAAAAGTTTTTAAGAGCTGGCAATCACCCTCTGTCAAGCGTGAATATTAAGTCAAATTCCCTTTTATGGTGTTTCTAGTGCAGCAATCAAGCAGACGAATCACCTGTTGGTAAGCGACTGGCGCCGCCCATGGACATCCACAACACCAAAAGATTTGAAAAGAGAATTGGTACGGGGACTAGTTTCCAAGCTTTGTTTACGCCGGGTTTCAGTGTGGCTGTGGTATCACTCCTGTCGAGCCAACCCATTCATGTTGACAGCATAGCTCTTCCACATAAAAACAGTCAATCTAGATGACTTGGTCGACAGTTTCAAAACAATTCCTCGTTCTATAATTCCAGGTCGAGTCACCATCGGTTCGGACCCGACATGTGATATCTACGTGGTCGGTACCGGAGTAGCCAGCGTCCACTGCCGGGTCGAGAACTCCCATGGAGTGGTCACGCTGTACCCGCTCAGTGGCAGCACGCTTCTGGATGGGTTACCGGTGGACAAGCCGACTAGGTTGTCTCAAGGTGGGTTATATTATACTAAAAGACATGCAAAAAGCACCTTAAATCCTACGCAATAGAAAGTTTCACTAAACAATTCAATTAACCATCAAAATAAACAGAAATTTTAAATAAAAGAGCTTCTTTAAAAATAATACTCGGAAATTGAGGGTTGACGAATAGGGTAGATGCCCAATTTTTATTGTAATGTCTGGTAGATTATTTTAAATTATTAGACACGTATTTTTTATTTTCTTGCAGAAACGAATACTTTCGACGATATTTAATTTGAAATGTCGCGTGACGTCACTTCTATGTACATTTTATACGTAGAAATGACGTTTTAGCCCCCACTCCTGAACATTGATTCGTTTTATCTAAGTATTGTTTTATTACCTATACGACAAAATAAAAAAATACGTGTCTGATATTTTTTCATTACCTAACTTATGGACTAATTAGAATTTTAATTGTCATACCCTGTCATCATCCCAATTGCTTGTGAATTTAATACTGGGAATTTTTGTCAAGGAACAAAAAGAGTGCTGCTCATACATTATAATAAGAAGCGAAAGGATAAGTTTTTTCAAATGCAGTTTAATTTAATTTGCATTTTTAAAAACTTGTTTATATCCTTATCGGGTTATATTATGAGACAAGGACAAGCATCTAATTACTTTTAAATAAATGTCACAACGGACATACAGACGACCTTGTAGATATGTCTAACTCCTGTCTAGACTCGAATTTAGCCAATTTGCTTCAGTCAACATCCGAAACTAATTCATTTCCGGATCTAACTAGTAATTTTACATCTGTATTTATTTTCTTAATTAAAGTCGATAAACAATATGCACGGGTGATTTTGCCTTGATGACTACCGTAGCAGATAATAAGATAAGTAGGTAAGTAGAAGCTGGACATAGCTTTTGTTTTTTTTCCTTCATTAGGATTTTCCCCTATATCGTGGGTGGATACGTAACGTACGTGGGTAAATGTGGGAGAGCTAGGCTTCGGCACGAATGGGCCGGCCCGACTGGAGTGATACCACGGCCTCACACAAAACTGATGTGAAACTACGCTTGCGTTATATTTTGTCGTTCGAGCGAGGTTATCGGAGGACCAATCATCCCTGGCCCCCTTCCCCAATCTCCCCAATCTCCCCAATCCCTGAATCCCTAACAACAACAACAATTCCTAATCAATTGTAACGCCTCTAGTCCATGGGCGACGCCAATTGCTTACCATCAGCTGATCCGTCTGCTCGTTTACCGGCTGATCCCATAAAAATACTCCTTTGATCACTTGCTTGTAATTATTACGGAACAATGCGATATAACGTTTGTTAGATCCATCTATTTACCGCCTATAATAGTGTTACTACGCAGGATAATATTTGATTATGCAATTAACATCAACACGCAAATTGAACGTTGAAGTGAATTCGTCGCGAACTTAATTAAGAATCTGATACAGATTATAAGTATACATATACATGACATTATGTGTGTTAAGCATAAGATTCCAGGCAACAGTGAGTAAAGTTCCCAAAGAAAGAGGGATCCTCGTGGGTACCAGGCGAGGTGATCATGCCTGACGGGCTTTCTGCCCAACAATTGAACGTTGGGATTTTCTATCCGTGTTAATTCGCATGTAAACTTCACATGTGCGATGCAGGATTTGTGACGTCACCTTTTGATTTACTTGTTGATCGTCTGTGCGACTTCTGTCATCTGTCATTTGTCTAAAACAAATATTGTTGTCACGTCTCCTTTACTAGGTACTCAAAAGGAGATATGGTAATCCAATATAACAAATTCACCCTCTTTTCAAGCATTGGTCAGTTTGCCCCAACCGGGAATAAAGCCTTCATACAAACTACATATTCAACAGTTAGTTAAAAAGACACTGACTAAGGAAACCCCTTACCCAACGTTGAACGTTGGGTAAGGGTTGTAAACCGAACCCCTTGAGGTTCGGTTTACAACTTCACGCTTTTTATCTCCGGAGGGGTAGGCAGAGGTGCACATTATGGCACTGAAACCCACTGTACAATGTAACACCCACTTTTCTCAATTTATGTTATAAGTACTACGTAATAGGGATCACCCCCTATTGCCATACACCGGGCACAATTCCGTACTCCGTGCTACTACTGGGTTTTTTTTAGACCCAGTAATACTTTACCCGACCTGGTAATCGAACCCGAGATCCCTTGCCCAGCAGTCGCGACCACGCGGCCAACGAGGAGTTAAACCACTATGCCTAAAATAAATACTTTCTAATCATATCTTTTTCTATTATTCCAGGGAGCATGCTAACTATAGGCCGGTCGAACTACCTCCGTTTCAACCACCCGGCCGAGGCGAAGCTCATGAAGTCGGTTCTACCATCAGCTCACGTCTCCATGGCTCCCGTCCAGTTCCAGCCCAATGACCAGTGTGTTACACCAGGTTAGTGCCATTGTGACCTATTGCTAAGTTAGCGTGGCAATAAAATCATGGCAATCACGCCTTTACTGCCACGAAATAGAGTTCATTCGAGAGAATGGTCTGAGGTGATGATAAAATGTGATATTCACTTTGCTAGTTGTCTTGATAAATACCGATCCTTTTATTAAAGGACAACTCTATTATCCAAAATTCATGTCATTATTGAAAATTACGAATTATTTTTACTCACTGCCTCGTTGGCCGAGTGGTCACAAGTGCGACTACCGGGCAATGGGTAAGGGATAAAATATTGCTAGGTTTTTAAAAAAATCTCAGTAGTGGCACGCAGTCTGGAAATGTGCCTGGTACATGGCAATAGGCTCACCCCCTATTACATGGGACTCATAACATAAAAGTGAAAAGTGGGTGTTACTTCTGTGTGCACCTCTGTCTAACCCTTCGGGGATAAAAGGCGTGATGTAATGTTATGATATGTTTTTTACTCATCCCGAGGCTCCCCTCAGATTGTGCCCACTCAACCACTATTATAATTTGATATGTCGAATAGATCTCCTTTACATTTAAGTTAACATAAGTACTTTTTAATAGAAACGTCTTTGTCCACAGCTTACGTGAACCACCACAATGAAAGTTACCAAAACACCAACATACAGAAGATATACAAAGATAACTCACTAACTCATTTAGACCAAGAACTAGATATGACACTCAAAGAAATGTCCAGAAAGAAACCTCCAGTCGCACCCAAAAAACCTTATAGAGACCTAGACCAGTCAGACTCAAACTCAGACCAAGAATCCAGGCCAAAAATGACAGGAATAATGGCAAAAGTATCAAAATTCGAGTACTATGCGAAGCAACAGAAAATTGGAAGAAGTCAGTTTTACACGGCAAACGAAAATGAAATATCCCCGAAAGTATTCAGTTCGAATTCTCTAACAGTTAATACCCCAGCGAAAGACGTGCTAGGAGGCAAAAGTATGCCAAATTACATGAACAAAATGAAAAACGTTTCCATCAATGAAAACAATTCGATAGACCCCAAAAATTTTTCATACGCCAACGTGGCTATTAGAAACAAAACGAAAATCGACGACATTGTAAAAAACTTTAACGAACCGACTAAAGACTACAATAAGTTACCGAAAAAAGTCAACAATGATGAACAATGTGACAATATATACGGGAAAATTAACATTGATAGGAAACCTGAGGAAAAATTAAATCAAAATGGACTAGAATCGGGGAGTAACGTAATGGAATCAAGTAAAAATGTGATGGAATTGGGGAAGAATAATTTGGAACTGTATAATAACTCGAATATAATGGAGAAGAATGAGATTTATGGGAAAATTGAAAGGAATAACGTGTCCAAGGGTATCTGTTTGCCATCGCCAGCTTTTGATAGAAATCCTCAATACTCCCCTGTGTATGCCAACACTCTGTATGACAGGAGTATGGAAGCTGAAACAAGAAGGTTGCGGGTATGTATTATTTTTATTTTCTTTATATTATTTACAAAATTCTAAATGATATTTTAACGCTTGCGTCTAAGGAACTTGCTATAATTTAAATGAAAATACACAGTATACTCGCTATGGTAGAAAAGCTCGACTGGTTTCGGGTCACGCCGGGACTCATATTCATAAGCAGATTACACGGCATGGCGACGCGACGTTGCGTTAATATCTCAACGGTAGTTATTATTATAATCTACTGAAATCATTTTTAAACTGTCAAACACCAAGCGGTCACCGGTGACCGCAACCTATTGTTCTATAATTGTGTCTATAATGACGGTACTCGACGAGTTAAAATTCCAATGAACTTTATTTTAATTTACAACAAAACCCAATAGATGTCGCTATATTACAGTTTTACCTCGACCAACAAGGCAGCCATACATTCATATGTGTTATTTATCTTATCAGTATTCAAAGACTAGTGATAACAATGTCAACATGCTGTACGGCCTTCACAAGGTGACATCAACACGCATTGTAATATTATATCTACATAAACATTTACACTAGCTTAGTCTACGGTTTCGGCCGCGTGCAAATGGGATGATGACAGGATATGAAAATTAAAAATATAATTAGTCCGTAAGTTAGGTAATGAAAAAATATTAGACACGCATTTTTTATTTTGTCGTATAATAAAACAATACTTAGATAAAACGAATCATAGTTTAGGAGTGGGGGCTAAAACGTCAGATCTACGTATAAAATGTACATAGAAGTGACGTCACGCGACATTTCAAATCAATATATCGTCAAAAGTATTGGTTTCTGAAAGAAAATAAAAAATTCATGTCTAATGATTTAAAATAATCTACCGGGCGGACATTAAAATAAAAATTAGGCATGTACCCTATTCAGGAAAATCATAAGTTTAATAATCTACGAATCTTTAAATAAAAAGTTATCTGTGGTCCTCTTCGGTGTCATGATTCGAATATGTTAAAATATATCTATTACTAGCTTTTACCCGCGGCTTCACTCGCCTCACAAAAGGATAAAAAGTAGCCTATGTGACATATACCAATACACACAGCGCCATCTATACAAATACTTTTGTTTTCCCTCGAAAATATCAAATTTTTCCGGGATAAAAAACACCCTATTATTTAATCCGGACTTTTAACTTTACGTCTGCAAAAAATCAAAGCAATCGGTTTAGTAGTTACGGCGTGAAAGCGGAACAAACAAACAAACTCACTTTCCAATTTATAATATTAGTAAGGATAGGAACTGGGTGTTTTTCGCGGAACTTTTTGTCTCTTATAACAAAACTTTGGAATAAACTCCTAACAGATACCTACGACGTTCAAAATTTTTAATTTGGGATAAACCGGTGAACGATCACGCGTATCACCTAATGGTAAGCAATCGGCGTGGCCCATGGACACCTGGAACACAAGTGGGATTAGGAATTTGAGGATTCTTGGGGATTTAGGGACTGGGGATATTGGTGAAGAGGGGCGTGGTAATTGGGCCTCCTCTAACTTAATTCAAACGACGAAACAACGCAATCGTTGTTTCACATCGGTCTACTGCTCGGCCGTGGTATAACTCCGGTCGAGCCGGCTCATTCGTGCCGAAGCATGGCTCTCCCACAGTTATACTCTCAACTAAAAAAACACTTAATTCTCAAGAAAACAGCACGTATTCCCCATTTAGTACTAATATAGAACAAGAAAGCCAAGAAATGTGTGTCCCTGCTCGCTACCATCTCATGATCTCACGATCCATCTGTTCGTTTACCCTTAATTCCACAAAAGGTGTATTGTTTCATATTTCGCACATATCAAAGAAACAATATTTATCGAATAAGGAAAATACCTAATATTTAAACATGCTACATTGATATTAATTATCTTTGCTATCAAAGAGATAAATAACAGCATCATTTGTAATTTTGGTAATATCCAGTAAGCACTTAATTTAGCTGAATCTTTTTCCATTGCTATAACATTCATAACTCAATAGTGTATATTGAATAAACCACTTTTAACTCTTTTCCTACTATTAACTCGTCGAGTACCGGTTTTGTAGACACAATAATTAATAATTATCCGGTTTTGTAGACACAATAATAATAATTATAGAACAATAGGTTGCGGTCACCGGTGACCGCTTGGTGTTTGACAGTTTAATGAACTCAATATGTTATTTCGTAGTACGGGAACCCACCGTGTATCTATATTTTGAAAATTAATAACTTATGGAGACTCATTCGCCGAGTGGTCACAAGTGCGACTGCCGGGCTAGGGGTCTCGGGTTCGATTCCCGAGTCGGGTAAAGAATTACAGGGTTTTTCTCATTGGTAGAACGGAGTCTGGAACTGTGCCCGGTATGTGGCAATAGGCTCACCACATAAATAGTGGAAAGTGGGTGTTACATTGTACAGTGGCATTAAGTGCCGTAACGTACACCTCTGCCTACCCTTTCGTGGATAAAAGGCGTGATGTTATATAATATACTAGCTTTTACCCGCGGCTTCGCTCGCGTCACAAAAGGATAAAAAGTAGCCTATGTGACATATACCAATACACACAGCGCCATCTATACCAATAATTTCGTTTTCCCTCGATAATATACATTTTTCCGGGAAAAAAAGTACCCTATTATTTAATCCAGACTTCTAACTTTACGTCTGCAAAATTTCAAAGCAATCGGTTTAGTAGTTACGGCGTGAAAGTGGAACAAACAAACAAACAAACAAACTCACTTTCCCATTTATAATATTAGTAAGGAAGTAAGGATAAGGATTATATGGAACTTCATTTCAAAATACCTATGCTTCACGATTCCCTAAATGAAATCCCAAAAACCGAACAATAGTTTGATCAAACCAGAGTCCTATTCGCAAGCGTGGTGATTAGTGCTCAAACCCCTGTGTGAGAAGAAGCCTTTGGTCAGCAATGGCCACTTATAGGCTGTTAATGTCACGATAGTTTGGTAATAGCAAAAGTGTCTCAAGTCTCCACCAAAGAGACTATGTTGAAGAGCTAAATATCAATATTTATATCAGGAATACTAAGAAGTGATTTCCAATGCAAATTCTTATGCAAATATTACGTCTTCGCTCGGTTTCTGCTAAAATGTACATAAATATGATAATGTTACGTAAAACTGTGAAAAGTAATCTGCATACTAATAGTTCGTTTATTTGTATGTTTATCTTTGAAACTGATAGTGAAAAAATATGTGTTTGTATTTTATTGTGTTAGTCTTGAGGAAGGTTGTACGCTTCGTATCCTATCTTAGAGCTGTCGCGGAGAACCTAACGGGTAACCGGGGCTCCGGCTCGACGTGCAGGAGAAGGAACGGGGTGGTTTTTAGTCAGTAAGAGTCTGACACTCCCTCCCGCCTCACCCAGGCGAGAGCAGTGATTCGATGATTTTCCCCCCTTAAAAAAAAAGATCCTATCTTAGAGCTGGTCTCAATGACCCAGTAGCTAAGCCTATCGATAAATAGATAAATATTGAGACTGATTGTGAATGACTTATATAAGTACGGTACGATATAGTTCACTCGTATTACAATTAAAATTTGACAATTAAGATGTAATAATAACAAGTATTAATTAAAAGCTGACTGAAAAAAAGGACTGCCTCGTTGGCCGAGTGGACGCAAGTGCGACTGCCGGGCAAGGGGTCTCGGGTTCGATTACCGGGTCGCGCAAACACTCAGTCCACGATACACCAAGCATCTGATGTCTTTTTTTAATAAGTGAACTTTTTGCTGCTGTAGTAGTGTTGTTCTTTGTTTAATGCATACGTCGTGGTAGCCTTTAATTAAAGCTACACTATACAATGTTAAAATATGTTGTGTATGCTTTGTTAGTTGCCCTTAAATAAATAAATCTCTGTTTTTGACAGAAACTTTTATCAATTCATGTCAAAAATCGACCTAAATGTACAGATTTTCGTTACTTTCAGCCTGTTTTGCCGTCTATCTTAAAATACCAATAGGTCATAAAGAAAATCTGAAAGTTACATTGTTTAACCCGCTTTATGAACCAAATAATGCATTCTTTAGTAGTATTTTTTGAGCATCATTTTAGGTATTTTGTGAAGTAAAAACGTATACATAATTAGAATTAGTTAAACTAATATTTAGTTATGCAAGTTCTAGACTAATTGAGGATACATTAGACCAAATATTATGTACCTAGTTTTGCAAGAACACTTGTCTTAGACTACTTTATGACTGACTAGTTTTATTTTGCATCATAATATTTGGAAGGCGGTATTTTTATTTGTGATTCTTTGGTTAAAATTTGTGTTATCGCTGAATAAATGTCCCGTGTTAATAACGCATTGAAAGGTCTTCAATAAGTATCACACACATTATTTACTTCGGTTTACTAAAGTTACTCGACTAGTTTCAAGCTGCGACCGGGGCCCATAACCATGAACAGCGTACGCGACAAATAGGTACTATCTTATGAATAAAAAGTTTATCATCTAATATATTTCTTTTTATACGGAACTCGAAACAAAAATCGTCAGAATATAATCTATCATAATACCTTGTAATCTTGAGATATTTAAAGCGTTATAATTGTAATTAAAGTAACAATGGCATTATCAGTGATAAGAATTGACGACATTTGTGGACTTCTGAATCGCAATGCGGCATTTGTATAATGTGTGTTTTTAGTATGTCGTTTGAAACATTACTTGACTTACTTAGTATGTTCTTAATTGAAAATTCGTAAGAAAAATATCTGTTAATTATTCCCAAGTGTTAATATAATGGTTTAGTGCAATTTTGTTGATTAAATGAAGTGTTTTGTGTAATTTTTGATGGTCATTAAAGGGCGCGATTTCTCTGGTTCTACAGATGTGAATAGGCTACGGTAACTGCTTCTATCAGGCAGATTATAAGCTTGTGTGTGACATATATAAAATATATAGAGTATCATACTCTATAATATATAATATATAATAAAACAACATACAAAATGCAGCATTTTCGTTCTTAATAATTTATTTAACATTGATTTAGTGGTAATGAATTCTTTGGAAAACAGTTTTTTATTGTGTTTGTAGCATTAATCCTTATTAAAAACGTAGGATGTATATAAAATGCTATAATATAGGTACACATTTCTGTCCATACCCAATGGAATTTAAGCGTGATGTTGCATTTAAAGTGTCTTGTCATTACAAACAATGTTAGGTAACCTCAAAAAAAAAACATTTTTGTTATAATTCCTAGTAAAATAATACATTTTTTTATTGATTAGGTACAGATAATATTTATAATCTAGGTGTCTTATAAACATGGTTTCCTTAAAACTGATTAACGCATATTATGAACTATTTATTAATCTGTTAATCTAGTACTAAGACCTGTGATTGGATGATTTAAATTTTAACCAACCAATCCGAACGTTGTAAATTCGTTCATTGTTCATTCTTTTGTAAATTCCGGGTAAGTCTGTCTGTGTGATTCGTTTATATTTAGAATTAGAAAAAAAACATAAGAGAAACTTGTAATTCACAATTGTTTTTGAGTATTTAGTTTTTAAAATTAATTAATCACAAATATTTCATTGTGCTAAATAATGATAGGTTTTATGAAACTCATATTTATACTCGTCCATGCATGTAACGTTTTCACCAAACTTTAAGCTAAAATAGGTGACTCTTAACGTCAATTTGGTTTGGACCAGCCTATAAATGACACTTTACAGTATAAGTAATGAGTTAATTTAGGTTCTCCTTCACGCTAAGTGGCTCTTAGTTAAGAGATGGTTTAGGGGTAGTTGATGAATACAGCCACTAGTATGATGATAAAATATGAATCGTAAATAATCTGACGTGAAAAATGTGGCATAATTACCGTTATCTATCTATAAATCATTGTAGAAAACTATATCGGTACGATATCTCATCAAAATTGATACAGCTGTTTAGGCGCCACGAAAAAAAGACAAACAAAATTTGATTTTGCATAGATTACATTAATATGTTCGTAACTTATTATAATTATGATGCAATTAATTAAAAACATGTTATTTTAATTTAAAACATATTATAGACATCCTTTTCCTTCGAAAACCAATTAATACAAGAAAGTATAAAAAAAAATCTGCATCACAAATTGTCCTTGTTAAGCAAATGTCAACTTCATTGTACAAGATGTAAGATTGTTTTTAGCATAAAAGCTTATTTGCATCACTAATCACCTCTGTTATGCTAATTTGAACTTTATTGTGAAGACATAAAGAGTTTTTATGTATGTTCAGTTTACGATGATATGTGATATAAGTTATCAATGACAGATTTCGTTTACTTTCATTTTTAAAGATTTAGTACTCGTTGAGCCGCGAACTGTTTTGGTCGAATATGTTCACGCTCCATCAGTTTCTGAGGTAGACAGACATGTTTGTAATGACAAACACACATTAAAAAACATTACAGTGATTTTAGTGAACAAAAATGATGTGCTAATCAATTTTTGAAATCGTGCAAAAAGTGATTCTATGTGCATTTAATTTGTGTTGAAAATCAATTGATAAAATGGCGGTAAAGAACAAAAAGGGACCTCCACAAAAGCGTCTACTTAGACTCTTCGTAAATAACCTGAAAAGGAACACTTCAGCTTTGAAAGAGTTAAAAGAATCAATCGAGACTTCGCGACCAAACGATTACGAGAAAATAATCGATATGACGAACGCAGTCAACGAGAAACTCGACGTCGTCCACAAAATTCGAAACGACATTAAAATATATAAAACCATAAACACTATATTAACCAATCATTACATAAAAGTAACAAGAGACCACGAAAATTGTATTGGCAGCAAAATTTTGAAATTGGAAGAGAAAATCAAACGGTCTTATGACGATTTGAAATTGGAACTGACAAAGATGGCGTCCGTTAGTGTTGCCAGTCAGAATATTTCGTCGCCGATACAGAATAGCAATGTGATTTTAGTTGGCAACGATTTGAAATGCAATCAGTTTAACCAGCTGCATATTAGAAATGAAATGTACAATAGTATTATTAGGAAGATTGATAAGCTGTTCTGTGGCATGGTGAGTTGGTAAATCTCCGAAATTCATAACATCACGCCTTTTTATCCCCGAAGCGGTAGACAGAGGTGCACATTACGGCCTTAATGCCACTGTACAATATAATACCCACTTTACACTTATGTTATAAATCCCATATAATAATCATTATTCATTATCTATTTACAAATATCCCATTTTTAACAAAAAATCGCGGGTTACTCACGTGAATATACTGAGAAAAGCACTACTTTCGAGCCACAGAGGTATGGTCTGCGATTTAGTATCCTATTTTTATTTTAACAACATGTTTAGAGGCCATATCTGTTTAAAAACAATAGGACCAGGGTGACAATGTTCATAAGATTCTCCAAACGTTGTTATCGGATATGTCATCACAACACCTTTCCAGTCATCTTTAGAGGTATATTTTACCAGCGGCCACCAACCCCAGCTTAAACCGGGTGCAATTTCAACATTGTTCCCGGTGAATTGTCACATTTTGTTTTTATTACAAACTAGCTACTTCCGAGCGGTGTCACCCGCTCTAGGTAGCTCCTATTAGTCGTAGCGTGATGTTTTATAGCCTATAGCCATCCTCGATAAATGCGCTATTCAACACAAAAAGAATAATTCAAATCAGACTTGTAGTTACGGACATTAGCGCGTTCAAACAAACAAACAAACAAAAAAACAAACTTCCGCTTTATATAATAGTATAAGATTGTGGCCCAACAATAATGAGTTGTCGAGTTGTTCGAGAGTTAAGGGCGTATATGCATTTCTGTGGTTCAGTTTTACTTTTTCAAAAAAAAAATATACTCCTTTAAAAATGTCAACGACGCACTTGAAATTCCCTCATGTTGCGATCTTGCGAGCATTCACGGTTAGTGTTGATAGCTTACGATCAGGCAATTCACCAGCGCTTTTGTCCCTCTATTCCATAGAAATACCTCTACAATATAACATAACATCACGCCTTTTTATCCCCGAAAGGGTAGGCAGAGGTGCACATTACGGCACTTAATGCCACTATACAATGTAACACCCACTTTTTACTATTTATGTTATTAGTGCAATGTAATAGGGAGTGAGCCTATTGCCATATACCGGGCACATTTCCAGACTCCGTACTACTACTGAGATTTTTAAAAACCCAATAATACTTTGCCTGACCCGGGAATCGAACCCGAGACCCCTTGCCCGGCAGTCGCACTCGCGACCACTCGGCCAACGAGGCAGTCTTATGTATCCTATATTACCTCTACAATAATTATTATCTTAATAATTAATTGCGTGACTATCTTCTTCCAGGCGTACCAGGACCGCATAAAGGAGGAGGAGCAGAAGGAAGCAGAGACTGCTCGGCTGGAGGAGATCCTCAATATGTGCGCCGAGTATGAGAGACAGATCTCTTCGGGTGAGTCTCCTAATTAGTTTCTTATAACATATTTCTTTATTCCCCTTCAGACATAAGTTAAATGGGTACTTAATTTTGAGAACAATTGCAAAAAGGCAATACTAATTACAGTAAAGGTATACAAAATAAAGATCATACCGTCATTTAAAAGCGAGTCTATAAGCATAGACGAATTTGGTACAATACTCATTCTTTATGCTTTGTTCAAAGGTTCAATGATTTGTTTGTAATATGGGCGTATATTTTTAGTAGTAAAATAATAAGGAATCCTGATTTCGACCGATCCAAATATATAATAGAACTTTCTCGACTTTCCAATTAAAACCTTGGTGGTAAATAAATAAAAAAAAAACCTTGATTTAGTAAACAATAAATAAAATATTATCTACTAAATACTTTTAAATTTAGCATTTAGAGGTCTACAGTACTTATATTACACCTTTTTAAGCCTTACAAGGTCTTATCGGTACTTGTCAATCACTCTATTATTAATAAAACACATAACCAACCTTTTTTCTCACCATATTTAACCAACAAACCTTCACATTGCAAACCCAAGGCAAACAAAACCAACTTACACATGGCAGTGGGCAAAACACGAACTAATATCACTTCGAACAAAATACCAAAGCAAATATTTTTTTACAAAGACACTAGCTACACTGTGAACTGAAAGTGTATGTTTGTTTGTCTGCATTTGTGTAATATAAAGCTACTTGTATCAGTTTTCCGTTGTATGTAATCTGTATAGCTTCATTGATAATGCTTTAGTTCTTAGTAAGAATGTGAGTGAAGGAAAACGGCATTTTCTGTGTCATTTTTGTATTGGTAAGTTTTGTGTCAGGTATATTTTATTGTAAATAGTTATTCCCTTTCATTTTATCCTCAATTATATTGCCCTGACGTACCTTCCTTATAAAGCCTTAATCAAGTAGTAACTCCAGCAATTCGAGCATTTGAAAGGCATGAACCATTATCTCTTGGACCTTGTCGCGGAGAACCTAACGGGTTACCGGGGCTCCGGCTCGACGTGCAGGAGAAGGAACGGGGTGGTTTTTAGTCAGTAAGAGTCTGATACTCCCTCCCGCCTCACCCAGGCGGGAACATTCATTCGATGATTTTCCCCCATTAAAAAAATCTCTTGGACCTTGGAGCTCTTCACAGTATTTTTTCCAATTTTCTCTGTCAAACGTCTTCTATCTCAAATTCGTTTCATGGATTAACATTCAGCCCTCATCAAAAGTGGTGAATTAACGTTTGTACCATTTAACTAAACTAATAATACTTTTTGAGCAAGATCTTAGTGTTTAATTTTTAGTACCTTGAACGAAGCTGAGTAGAAAGCAAGTTCAATAACTTTTTTTTATTAAGGAGAACAGACAGTATTTAACATCTTTTAAAGTACTG